ACATAGTTAGAGATTTTGTATTCCTCGCTGATAGACGTCGTTACAGCTGGTTTGACGAAATCAGTCCCGGTTGCGATATGTAAACTAATAAAAATTCCTTCGTTTCTATAAATGACTTATTTAATAAATCCGTCATTTAGAAATTCGATGCACTGCCTGCTGAGAAATAAATATAAAAGAAAAAAAGATGTAATCGCGTCGGTCGCCCTCGGAAATCGGAGTTAACATCGGCCGGACAGATTTATCAGTGGCGTTTCCCGGAGGACGCGTCGTTGGGGTCTGGTTGACTGAGCGTTCCCGCGGGAACGGTACCCAACCGTTCATACATGCGAATCGGGAAAATTCTCGGCTGCGAAATCCGCGGCGCGACTCGGTGGTCGCTCGTGTAACAACAGCCATCAGCCGAGCGAATGGTCGGAGGGTGAGGACGTGCCGAAGCGACGCTCTCGTTACGCTTTTAATCGTTTCATCAAGTTGTTGTTAGCGCGCGGAATGTGCGGCAATTTTGCCGACGAATTGGATCGCGGATTCGCTTGTTTTCTCCCCGATGGGCTCTCGCGGTGCGATTTGCGCGGAATGGCCGCGGCAAACGAGTTGATGAAATTTCCCCTACGCGTCCGTCCTTTTCTTTCTTTTTGATTTTAATAAAAAGTATATTAGCAATATTAAGTAGTTATATCTATGTTCTTCGTAAGGATAATTAATACAGTTTTGATAAAAATTGTGATGCTTCTATGAATACAATTTTGCATTAAGAGTTGCAGTCTTATATGGAAAGGAGATATCGGTATTTATTAATATGTATTTATAACCGTGTCGCGTAGAATGTAGTTCACCAACAATCGGCGAAAATACGTCTCCGTGTTCACGTAGATATAGGATTACACGATTCGCGACGTGGAGAACGAATCCTTGAGCCGTGAGGATGGCTCACCTACGCGGTTCGCGGTTTAATAATCAATTTCGTGTTAGCCGAGCGAGTACAGGGTCGCGATGGACGCTTTAACGAGGCTATAAATCCGTTCGAAAGCTGGAAAGCAGTGTTCCTCTTTCCGGGAAAGGGGGGGAAAAAAAAAAGGAAACGATCGTGAAACCGGCAACCACCACCCGACATTCGATCTTCGTTCTCGAATCGGAGTCTCGCGCGCGCGCGCGCGAACCTGCTGTAGATTCTATCTGCTAGAATTATGTCTTTATTAGCCGGAATCTCTGTCCGATGGGCATAACGGTTTCCACGTGCAGGTGTCCTTTTTCTTTTTCTCTCTTCCAAACATGCTCTCGGAAAAACAGAAACGAATTATGCGTTTTCGTGACCGTTTTCGATCGAGATCGTCGTTAGTCAAGAGTGTTCGGGGAATAATCTGCAGTGGATCTCGGTTAGACCCCAGCGGTTCGGTCCACGCGATCGGTAGCTGGGTTGTAAATCTGTCCAGTGAGAGACTTTTCGCGGGCACCGTTAGCTTTTCGTGCCTTCCACTGCACACAACGGGATCTTCCGAGATTCTTTCCCGGGATAGCTGCCGAGAAATTAGGCGAGTTCTATTACGTACGTCCCCCGGTCTTGTTTTGGACACTGACGATTTTATCGGATGCAAGAAATTCGTTTCCCTCTATGCTTCGAATAAAAACTTTTTAAATCAGTAAAATTGTAAACACCTTATTAAGTGCAAACTTCATTGCGTTTATTGCGGTGCTAAATCCGGTGAACAAGCTATAATATGAAAATCCCTTCATTCACTTTTATTATATTATAATAAAAGTACTTGGAACGTATGCAATCATAACGAGAATGAACGAGCTGGAAATTAGCAGGAATTACGTATCGAAAAATATCAGCGAAATAGAATAACAACGAACGTTGATCATAGACATTAAACGGTCGTTAAAATCGGCCATGTACTGGGATACTTTAATAACGGGAAAATAATGTAATTGCGAGGAGTCGCGTAGCTAAACGATCGTTTAGCGTGCGCGTTTCGAGCAGTAAAACGGTTTTGATGGCCGCCGCATCGAATGAATACGAAAGTGGATAAACGCCGGACTCGGGGTTCCATTCACGGCGGAACTCGTGTAATATCCCTTTAATAAAACGGCGAGAATGTTTCGACAATAATGAAATTGTACAGGGGCCGACGGTTGTTAAAATTCCTTCGCGCGGTTCACGGGATTCGGAGGTATTCACGAATTGTAAATTCTCTTCCCCATTCTTAGCGCCGGTCGTAATCGTAACGAATAAAGATACGTTTATTATCTAAATAAATTATTCGCCTGCCGTTTCAAATATCTTGCCAATAGCAATTCATAGAAACAGCAAGTGAACTTCAAGTCTTGTGAAACTATCAGAAGTAAAAATGAATTTTTACACTTCTAAAGCTTACCGTAACGCTTCCTTTTCCTTTGTGACCCGGTTTAAAAGGATCTAGAGTGGAAAAACCGGGCATTTTCACAGAACTTACATCGGTAACATACGGACGAGCCGGTTTCCCGCGGCGATACTTGACAAACGATGCTCCATAATGTCCCCGGATAACAGGGCCCCATTGACTCTGAGCATTGTCGTACGGGACCCGTGGTCGAGCACCGATCGCCACCAGGAGGTCCCTACGCTTACTTATTTTCCACTATTGTTCTCGGCCCTCGAGCCACCGCGCCCCTGTCTCACTTTTCCGTCCGAACAGTTTTCACGCTCGATGTTTACGACGCCCCCGTGAAACCGTGTCACGTTCCTTTTCCTCGGGACTCTATTAACTGGTCAGCCCGACGTCCTTTCTCTGTAATGAGATTATCTGCTGGTTACGACTTGGTCCAGGCAAAATCTGGGTAAGATCAGCGAGGACTTAACTGGTAGAAAGTAATGAGGGATGCTTTGTAACTTGGATGAATTGCTTTGGAGATCAGTTCGGATCTAGATGCCCTTGATGAGGGCAGATGAATGATTTACAACAGTACAGCCAGTTTCGAATTTTTATTTCAACATATGATTACACTATCTTAAGACTTTTGCGAATTACTTAGGTACACAGTGCTTGGAAGAGTAAATTGCTCCTCGCAATTATTAAATAATTTTCAACGGGGCTGTGTAATGTTAATATGAAAAAGGAAAAATGATGAAAATTAAAGGGGATTCAGCTGTTAGTTGTAGAGGAGAATTAATGTGTCTACGCCATTGGGATGGAGGCCAATCGAAACGCCATTAGTACCCGGTTGCATTAAACGAGCGTGTTCTCGAAGTAGGTAGCCATCTTCCGCGGCTGGCTTCCACGAAAATTAACTACTCGCGTTGGTTCAATTCGAAATTCATTAATTTTCCCCGGGACGACGAGCGCGCGCACACGCCGACACGACGCGACGCGACGGGACGATCACCCGCGGTGTCCGTACGCTATTAAACGCTCGGCTCTCCTCCGCTCGAAATCGAATTACACGTCGATGGAATTAGCTTCCGTCAACGAGCCGCCTCGTAGCTCTTTATTAAACCCACCTGCTTGACCTAACAATTTTCGCGCCACTGAACGCATTCGTTATGCCGATACAAGATTTTATCAATGCTGTCAATAGAGCTAATTTGCATTTGAATAATTCCTTCACTACGGAACTAGCGAATGTATAAATGGTAATTCGAAATTCCAGTTGCTTTATTAAACGGCGTTGTAAGTTGGATGGCGTTGGAGATTTTATTTTATTGGAAAATGAACGTGTCGTTTGTAGATGCGACCCGCTGTTAGTCTCGTTCGCAAACCGGTCTACTATTCGTGGGGGCTAATCGAAATCCCGGGCGCCATTAAATCGCCGGGGGCCGCGCCCTTTAATCGTCGTCTGACAACGTTACGGGGCCCGATTTGTCATCCACGAAATTGAGTCGCATCTGCCCCCCCCCCCTCCCCGGCCCCCGGATACCAACGCGCGTCCGGCCCGTTCTGCTTCCGAGCTGACAAAGAGCGGAACCCGGAGGAGTGTGCGTGCCGCACGCTCTCTCTCACCGAGGCACAATAAGCTCCTCGAGGACAATATAATGGCAGCCAGCCAGCCAGCGAATATATACGCGCGTATATACGGGCACGGACCATTAATATATGGCCGCGGGGGCCATTGTTGCGAATTAGGTAGCATTGAGCGACCCATTGTCGACGACAACCGGGGGCCGTCGTGCTCCGCGCTTCGTTGACTGCGTTTTGATGAAGTCCCCGTGCACGAGACGCGTCCTCCCCTTTCGACTTCTAACTTATAACTTCGGGCCCTTTAATGGACGAACCTCCCCGGGTTCTTCATTCGTTTCCCATTTTTTGGGTCTCAGTGGTCGCTGACAATTGAATGGTTCCAATCGTCTTGTTGTAAAAGATCTGTGCACTTTACATTTGTGAATGAATCGTTTTCCGAAATAGAGTTGAAATGATTAGGTATTGGGTGAAGTATTTCTTAATTGATATGTAATATAACGAAAATTAAATTAAATACATTCTTAAAAATCTTTCGTAACGTTCGAAAACGTAGTTACGATTTGAGGGTTGCTACGGGGGTAGTTTGAATTTATACTGGAACTATCAACGACACCTATGAAAGAGTAGGGTATATAATATACCTGTCTTATCGACAGATAGGAAGAAGCAGACGTATGGTAAAATCAAACCGAAACTGCATATTTTACTACTAAAATAATTTCTTGGAAAATTTAATAATAAATTCAATATAATATAAGTAACAACTCTGAATACCGGTCATAGACTTCTTAAAATATTATTTTCTTCATCATAAGAAGAAGGTAAATAGAAAATGAAACAGTCAGGTTCGTTCATCGAAAAATATTTTAATACAAGTTTACAATGATTGGTAAAAAAAAACAACCGCGATAAAAAAGCACGCAAACAGATAAATTCAAATATTTCAAAAACAGTCTCGCTTAAAATTGTATAAGCACATAAAATCCGTGTCAGTGAGTTGGTAATGCATGTGATAAGTATAACGTTGTTCAGAAGTACGAAGGTATTATAATTATAATATGCTTAGGCTTCAGTTCAATACCAGTGGTATCAAAACTTTTATTCTTTCAATTTGCTATTAAAGTTTTCAGCTGACGACGTTGCGGTCGCCTGTAACGAATCCTGTCTCTCTATTCGCATTATCGTGGATCCAACGTCGAATACAAAGCACATTGTATCGGAACCGTGGCCATTCGACGCTGGTTCCATTCTCTTAACGTACGTTCGTTGTTCATGTAGGCGAATTCCTCTCGTACGTCTTCTATGGGTCTGATCCTCTCGCCAGATCAGAGAACTTTATTTCTGAGACGGCCCAGGCCCTCTATTTCCGTTTCCAGCACATCCCCACGCTAGATAAAATAAAATTGCATGAAAGATGTTAAAGATCCGAAAGGACATCTCAATAGATCATCGATCTACCTGTAAATATTCAGGTGGTTTGCGAGTATATCCCACGCCGGCCGGTGTGCCTGTTAGAATTACATCTCCTGGTAACAGGGTCATAAATCTGAAAGGCGCGGTTATATAATCAGTGACTAGCTATTTCCTATAGGAAACTTAATGAAAATTCTTAAGATCTAACATCTAATGAAAAATAAATTTTTAACGCTCAAACATTGTTTCAACACTATTGTTACGCTTAACAATGAAAGTGATAAGGGACACTTACTGCGAAATGTAGGCAACGATTTCTTGGGGTTTATAGATCAGCTCCTTAGTATTGCCGTCTTGTTTAAGGTTGCCGTTTACCCACGTTTTCACAGGCAGATTATTGATATCACATACGGCCTCCTTGGTCACTACCGCCGGCCCCAGCGGACAGAACGTGTCCATCGCTTTGGCCAAGAGAAATTGGCCACCGTTTCTCTTCGACTTCTGCCAATCCCGCGCGGTGATGTCCTGCGCCACTGTGTAACCGAAAATACAGTCCTCCCCCTCGTCATTGTTCAACGCCTTGCACTTTTTGCCGATTACTATCGCGAGCTCGGCTTCCCAGTCAACTTTCTATCGATGATACATCAAAAAAAAGAAAAAACAAATCGTCTAATGAAGCGAGATCGAGCTACATTAGAAAGACCATTGTCTTAAATAAAATAACGTCATCAAATTTCTAGCTAATTAGCCACACGACGATTAGATAAGAACTGGTAAATTACACTTTTACGTAATCGACTCGTTGAAAACACTCTGACGGTTTATTGATTATGCAATGCCGCGACACTGGACAGCAGTCCATCATCGATTTGTTATAATTTAAAAAACTGAATATTATTAGAATAGATTCTTGTATCAAATTGATGACAGAGCAGCTACATTTTCATCGCAACATCCGTCATCGGTGAAATCATATCGCAAACGGAAGAATCGAATCTCAATCTCATCAACGGATCAATTAATTCCTGTTTATCTCTATAGTTCTATAATTAGAACGAAAGTCCGTTTAACTCGTTACGTAATTGTTCCGATTAAATATAGAGACGGTCACGGCTACGCGAAAGAACATATGTATATGTAGAGAGCTCCGCGGCGCCGAAGATGCCAGCGATCGTTCTTGAACTTACGTCCTCGAGCGGCGGAAGCATAATGTTGTCGCGCGGACCATTGATGGTACTGGCGAACTTGTTGAAGATGACGGGCGATTCCGGTGGCGAGATTCCTTGCTCCCTGCAGTGGCCGCTGTAGTTCAAACCGACGCACAACAGTTTGTCCATCCGCGTAACCGGCGCTAAAAACTTCACGTCCGCTTCCGGTATCACGCTTCTACCCTCTGCCACTATTCTGCAATCGTTCATTTTGGAAAGAAGCGTCAGGAAATTCTTCCAGCGGATAGAATCGAGTCTTGTAAATTAAATTTTTCTTCCGATGGAATACTCGATGACTCAAATAATAGTTATGTCAACGAATGGTTATCGAGCTTCATTTGTCACTTGTTTTTCAAACAGCTCTGGTTCGAACAAAATCTACACGTCATTTTGCTATCGACACTCTTCCACCTGTTAGCCGAGTAATTAAAACAAGACTCAACAGGTGACGATAATAATGATAATAATGGGTTAGTTTAAGGTTTCATCGGTCACTCGCACAACACGAATATGAAAATTGTACAGTCACACAAGTACCTCATTACAAGGATGTACTTTTATAAGCGAACGGAAAAATACAAATGCCAGCTGGCGGCTTGAACTCGTAGCCCCGATAACCGATAAGAGTTTTCCCATAAGTGAACTGCCATATGTGCCGCAAAAACGAAATCAATTTTACCGCAGTTAATACATATATATACATACGTAACTCTGCGGAATTGCGATATCGTGACGAACCGTCATTGTGGAATTGCGTAACTTCGACGTAAAGCATCAATGTAATCATTTAAGCGTACGATTGCAATAAGTTTCACGTGCATTCTGCAACGCGAAGACAATTGAGAAATAAATTCAGAGAAAAATGAAAAAAAGAAACGATGAGATAATGATCGAAGGAGAATCACTGAAAAAAAAATCGTGCGGTTTCATTCAGAGGTGTTCTGGTTCCATGAATCGAACAGCTTTGAGCTGACCCGTAACTTGCAAGCTCGCCAACTGGCATGCAAACAAATACCGGTTTCGTTTTGAAATTTGCGTTCAACAATCGCACACGTTTGCAAACACAGAATCGTCAGATGAACACCATGCAAGTGGTGTATCCGTGAAATGTGTAATGTATTGCTAATTAAATCAGTGTTCTACAATGGACCGAGTGTTTATTTATCTCAACGTGATTTATCACAAGTATTTTGTTTTCAATAGATTGTACTGTACGTTTCGAAGAAAATATTAATTATGATATAAACATGGTGTGTCAATTCCAAAGGCGGTAAAAACGTAACATTATTTACAACAAGATCTATCTTATCACCTACCACTCCAACGTCTGTGTATCTATTCTACTCAAACATCATTTACAGATAGGTAACATATAAGCGGTAGCTGAGAATCGAGCCTCCCTGTTCCACCAATTGGCGTGAACGAATTGTTCAAACATTCTATCTCATATATGATCGAATGCGTCGTGAAAAAAACCCAGATAAAATTGATCGATTATTAAATATGTTATTTGTAACATGTCACGTATACGAAATTATTGAGACGTGCATATTTGGGTGCACAGAAAAAACACATAAAATGGATATTTAAAAAGAGGATGACAGTACAGGTTCACACTAAACTCTTCCAACGAACCTTTCTACCATAGTTAACAGGTCTAACTCCTCTTCGCTGGAAACAAACGAATGATCTATAAAATCTCCACAGAAACCTTTACAAAATTTTGCTCTTTCTACTAAAGTTGTATTGCAAAATAAAAATGTATTCTTCTCTCTTATCGCGATAAGATCTGAGATATGTGCGGGCTTCGATTTTCCGGTTGATTAAATGTCATTCACTCTCACGAAACTTCCTCCGCAAGTGTTTTATTATTCATAAATGATAATCAGCCGCCACAGATAACACATGATAATCAACTTGTTTATCATAGCCTGGCCTTCGCGATATCCTCGAGCTTAAACAGACGTACCTCTTAGCTTTCTTCAATAAGTCTTCGCCGCCCTCGAGGAATTTCTTCAACGAGTTTGGGATCCGCGAGTCCACGGCAGACACCGCGATTATGTCACCACCCTGGACCAGTTGGACTCCTAAGTGTTGTGGACCCCCATTTTTGCCAATAAATTGAACGAATCTATCAACAGCGTAAACATATTTGTTTCAATAATAAATCTACTAAAATAATGAATAATCTTTACTTTCACAATCGTGTCGCCTGTTTTGGTATGATGCTGTTTGTCAAGTCGAACAGGTTTTCGTGAAAGAAAAACAAATTCACCTCTCAGTTCGCACTTACCTCTCACTAAACAATACGGAGATATCTCTCAAGGCTAGCTATTTTTGCACCAGGTGCACACTTTGTGCATTCGGTCAAATAATATTGAAGACAGATATAATTCAATGAAGAGTTCAATGGATTTAATGGTCAAGGGTTCAGGGAAGGGTTGCATAGTAAATAAAATCGACGATACAATTTTTATAACATGTTTACGTATAATTAACACTTAAATAAAATATGCTTACGTCAAGTATGGTATAATTATCATGAGTAACTTAATACATACGAATATTTTTGTTTATCAGAATATGTACTGTTTTTGTGAATAAGAGGGTCAAAATTGATAAGAGCTTAAAGAGCGCATAAAAAATTAAGATAAGCTCTTGTCAAATCAGGCCAATTATTTTTATTTTGTTAGAAAATAATAAAGAAATATGTAGTACCAGTAGCGTACATGCAACTAACATCCGTTACGATTGTTACGAATGCAATTGAAACTGTTTGTCCCAAGTTTATCAACTTCCGTGTTAATCTTTAGTTTACAATTTGATACAATAGAATTTGAAAACTTCTAGTGGCTACTGTGACGCAGCTATTAATCAGGACAAAGATTATTCAGATTTAATTGATCATAATGAGTATCATGCTATTATAAAATGATTACACCCGAACATTACGATTTCCTTATCAGATACCATTGCCGTCTGCTGTGCATTAAATGCTTCATGGAAAATTGTTCAGATTGTGCAGTTTTTATATAATCGAAACGATCAGTTGCTCGAGTAACTTTCTAACGTTACATAAAAGTAGAAAAATCTTGTTCGTGTCAGACACGACTTGTTCTACTGGTAACAGTAGAATCAGCAAGCAACTCGCATGTTTCAAAATTATAACAGTTAATTATAACAATCTATATAATAAACAATAGAAACTTATTTAAATTTAGAATTATAATATAGACTGTCAAACTATATCATTAATGTCGATTCTATAAAAAACGTGCTTTGATACCAGTAGTTTTTGCGACTACGTTCAGTGAGTCCTATAAATGCCTAGGTTCAGACCTAATCAGTATCGATGACATAAGTACTCGTATGTCTGGATAAATGTACTTACTTGTTCGAATAAAATTTTTTCACATTCATATAAACGTAACTTTCGAAACACTGTGCAACTGGGTGAACGACATTTCATTGATGGATAATCAATAGGTAGACGTCCGTCGATATATCAAATTAATTACGTTTATGTTTCTCGAACTTGGCACGCTTAAATTATTCGATCACATAACAAGCCGTACCGTACTTGTATCGTGAATGAAAAAATGATCATGTCTATTAACATTTTGCGAACCATTCCTTTTTTGATAGCCAGTTCACATATATGAAAGAATTGTTAAGCAGGAATCGGGAATGAATTAAACAAAATCTCGCGAAATTCGATCGATTGTACGATGCTTTTTAAAATGTAATATCAAATTGCTGAGTAGAGGATTAAAAAATCTCACCTCATGTTGACCGCGCCACTGGTTGAGAATTTTCTACCGGGTATGCCAACGGTGAAATGCGTGTTGTTCTTCTCAGCGCACGAGTTTCTGAAGACTAAGCAAGCTCTGCTGAGCGAGCGCATTTTGTAACGGTAAGGCATCTTTTATCGCCAAGAAAAACGTAAACCGGCGCGATTACAAAGCAGCAATATAACCACCGGCAATTAAAAATGAAGGTATTCGTCGCGAAGGACGAATAACTACTGAATGAAGGTGGCTAAGTGTGCACGTACAGAGTTGAAGTTCATAGCGCCGTCTACAGTTGTCGAACAAACTAAAGTGTATGAATATGCGATAGCATCTAGCCATGCTGCATACGTATAAAATCCGGTATTTCCTCGTATCATACCTATTTATCGCTTTCTCGTATCATTTAATAGTGCGACAGTGATATTTAATGATAAAAGTAAATTGTGTCATGATACGATATATAGATTAAATAAACTCTGTAATAATCTAGGATTAAGTGAATTATTTTATTTTCTCTTAAAACAGACTCTTCTAGCAAGATTTACAAGTATTTCTAAGGGAAAAGTCGTGGTTTCTTCCTTGTAATAGGAAACTCTTCGCGTTCATGATAGGGGTTATAAGGATCGTCTACATAATAATGCGGTCTTTTCCAGTACTTGGTCACCATTTTGTCTAACATTGCCGACTGCGTGGCATTACAGAAGACGTGCATTTTATATTTATGTTTCAATTTTCCAGACTTTTTCCATAGACGTTTATGACGTCCAGCGCGGGTCCTGATCCATATACCCCTAGAATTGAATAGAATATATTTTACATCGTGTTAAATAATTAACAGTGCAATTTACTTCAGACGGAAATCATACCAGTTCAATCTGTAGAATCTTTCAACCACAGGCTTTACAGTTTTCCTTTTGCCTTTGTGTCTCGAGTATTTTATAACTGTTCTTACAGGAGTGGTATTAGGCGTTAATGTCAGAGGGACAACATTGTTAATCTGTGCCTGACTGTAAGTTAAAATTATTTTTATTTAATTACTTTTATACCGTATATATTACAAAATATGTTGCTCTATACAAACCCGAATATATCACTTCTCTTGATATTGCTAACATTGCTCCAATTATTAATGGTTGAAGAGAACGCTCCAAAAAATCTTTGCTGCACGCATTGTGTAACAAGTGACTGTTTAGAAATCAGGGAAGTAGCTAAATGAGCAAGTTTCGTGCGGGAAACGATATCTGAAATATGAATACGAAAAGAATGTCACTGTATTTGCGTAATTTCAAATAAGCGCGTGTTCGGTTCGAATTCCACCGCGTTCCCACTGATAGAGGACCGATGTGGTTCGTCGACCTATAACCTAAAACGCACGAGTTCGAACCGATTATCGTGGAACGACGTATCGAATTCGAGCGAATAATGGTTTAAAATGAAGCCACCAAACTATCGTTCCGCGTAGTGACGCGAGTGTTGGTGAACGACGCGAGGAAATTCTGATTACGTACCCCGGACAGCGGTATTAACAATACGCAACATTCTTCTTTTCGCCTAGTTCCGTCGGTGGTAACCAGCTGTTTTGTCCCGTCGTTCCCTTTTTCCTTTGGCTGCCTGACCGGCCACCCGAAAGATGTTCCGAATTGGATTAAAATTTCCGTGCAACGGTCTAAACAGGGTATGTAAAGTAAGTAAGAAGTAAATGCGGTTGTACCCGCACAAGCACGACGGTTTCGCGTTTCCCGGATTCAACGAGTCGAGTAAAGACAATCGCGAGGAAACGTATCATGTCTAGCACTCGTCATAGACATTACCATCGCATCGACTATTCTAATTGTATTTAACGTTTCTCTCGTCGTTCGATGTTTCCCTGGCGAGACATTTGTCGTAAACGGTGTGAGAAATCGTGGCCGCACCTCGATGACGATGCTCTCGCAAGTTGTCAGTGAATATTCCTGCGAACAACACCAAGGTTGCCCGCCTCGCGTGACAAGATGGCTTTAATTTAGAGGCTTACATAATTCCAGACAGTTTCAACGGTAACCATCCTGTTACAGGTCAAAAAGCATGGACCTTCCAGACTCTACTTAACAACCAGGTGTTACGAAACACGTACACGAGTTAAATGTGAGCCAGAGTGGAGGTGAGTGAACAGATTTGCCCTACTGTTTTTCTAACACTTCTTTTTACAATTGTCAAAATTGGCTTCATGAAAATTATCTTTAGAGAGAGAAGAATTTTTAAAACGTGCTTTGACTTGTGTCATGCATAGTTCTACTAAGTAATTTTTCATATTCAGTATGTTAAGTTCAATTTAGTTCGAGGTTAAGTCATGCTTGACAGAATTATTTTGCTCTGCTTGTCTGAGCCTTATTACAATTAAATATCCTGTCTCGATATATTGCCAAATTATTATGTAATTATTATTTCTGACCGATTCTCTAATACACATTGGAACCAAGAGTAGAACTAAAAATAAACTGTGTACATTTGATTATTGTATACAAGCTTGTGAATGATATATCAATCAGTAAAAGACTCTTTTTTTTTTATAAACACAGCAATATGTTTTAGGTATTTCAAGGATGTCAAACTTATGTCCAGAATATCTGGACATAGGTATTCAACTGATTCATCGAAAAGGTATTCAAAGTTTAAACCTTAGAATATTGCTGTATTGTGTTACATAACAAAGCTCCATGCATGCTTGTATCAAATCTATTTCATTCAAATCTTATTTTTACTGCAAAAGGTTTAAATAATGATTGCAAGATATTTATTCATAAAAATTTCATGGGCATTAAATTATAAGTTTTGTTGTTAAAGTGAAAAGAGCAGTAAAGGCCCCAGGACACTGTTAACACTAACTGCAGTGGCTGTCGGAGCATCAGGGGTGTTACTTTATGCAAAGCACGATCCTGTATTTCGTGCCAATCTTGAAGCCTGGGTACCCGGCACGGACAAGACGATTCAGATCATCTTTCAGGAGGAATCATCTTATTTTGAATTCATACGTACATTCTTTGAAACATTAAAACAATCGTAAGTATGGCGTTATACATTGGTCTAATGTTTACTTCAATTATGGTACTAATTGACTTTGTTTATTTAAGGATAGTAAGTGCCATTTTCGGAGAGGAGTCGCAGAAAGACAAACCAGGTCAGAAAAGATTAGATTGCGTGAATTTTGAAGATTATACACGTGAGCCCCATCACTAATACCTATATCCATTTCCTTCTTATTTCCTCTTTTAATCCGCTTTAAATAAAATACCGTATCATTTAAAACCAGTTTTATTTAGAATGTTTACTGCATACTAACATTTGATAAAACCGTGTGTACTGTAGCACCAAAGCCAGCTTTTGTACCACTGGTTGATAAGAAGGAACCGCCTATTAATGAACCTTATACGGAAATAAGATTAAGTAAAGAAAAAGGACAAGAAATTGAAGTTGGTACGCTTCTATTTAACACGATATATAATTTTATCACGAGGAAGGCTTCCCTATATAACTTTGAATGAACGTGCGTATCTTTTTTTAGTGGCTGAGAAACCTGCGCCAATTACGAAGAGTATACCTCAGGAGTTAATGCCAAAAAATTTGGTCGAACTTGAAACGTCATGCGGTGAAACTGCAGCCAAAGCTATTGCCGCTTATCAGAAAGCAGCGTGTGCAATTCAAGATTATAATCAAGATGTTGTAAAAATCGTGGAGAGTTCTCACGCTACGATTGGGAGTTCCATTTGGAACAGGTACGCTTATTTTGCATAGAATTTTCAACAAGTCGTTTGTTAGTTATAAATAAATTGTTTTCAATTACAGGCTAAAAGATGCGACGGAAAAGAGGAAGAGTTCCGTTAAAGAGGCGGAAGATCACGCCAAGCTCGCACTCGAGTCACTCAAGAAAATGTATAGTTTAATAGATGATCCTCAATTTGATGCGCCTTCGCACGTGAAAACAGCTGCCCGTAGGAATATTAAAAAAATATTGGACGACGTGGACGACGCGAAGAAGAAATACGAGGTGGAAATAGAAAGCGGAAACATGGCCGAGCGTTACTGGAAACAGGTCAAAATAGCTCGAGAGAACCTCAATGAAGAACTTCAAATACTATTCCCCGACATCAATATTCACGAGAAAAAATTAACCCTCAACGAGCACGCTTTCGACCTGTTCGTTCTACACATGTACAACAAAGTGAGCAGCTTACAGAAGGATTTGGAAAAATTGAGAGTAAGTAATATTTGAAAGATACGTCCAAAAACGTCAAATGCACCGGTGATTCAAATGTGTGTGTGTAATTATGTTACAGACGATCAACGAAAGCAAAATTAAGGCGGCGTTGAAGACGACGGGCGATACGGCAGTGCAAGAAAAACTGGACACGCTGGTCTGTTTGGAATTGGACAAGGAGAAACAGTTGCTTCAGGACGAGTTCAATAAAAAGGTAAGCGAATCGTCTGTATTCCGTATGCAACACAGATAATAGTATCTTTTGTGTCCGAAAATGAAATACGTACTCTGTTTTCTGTACGCCCGAGTATCGCGGTCGCGTTAATTCGTTCAACGCGTATCCGGATGAAATAACGGGGAAACTTTCCGGGAGCTGGTAGAAGATATAAAACCGCAGCCGCAACCAGTAATAATTCACGCGTAATGCCGCGGAACTTGGGATTTATGTTCTCACGCATCGCGCGTTCGGAAATTATGCGGCCAACTTTTCGGAAGATATTTAAAAAGCTGCGGATTTTAAAAATAGAGACGCCGTCGTACGTTAATAATTTTCGACGCAAATACACTCGTTATCGGGCCGCGTTAAAACGGAGTTCGAATTAATTCACGGAATCCAATCGATAGCTATCTCATAAAGGCAAACATCGTGTCCGCGACGGTACACACAGTTTCCATGCTACGCGGATAGAATTTGGCATTGGGAAAGGCCGCGTCGCACACTTGGCCGTTATATGCGGCACATGGGGTGTGGCGTATCCCATATTCCTGTGTGCATGTACACGAGCGCATATCTGTCCGTTTGGTAAGGGATGAGGGGCGGCAGAGGGGACGGGAGGGACGACTCTGCTACCCTTCAGGCTTTTTATCTATTTCCATTTGGCCCGCCGCCAATATTTCGCTAGCGGCAGGCAATATTATCTCTTTAGACTAGCCTTGCGGTATATCCGGCGTACACGCGTCTAGTCACACCGAGATATCCTCGCTCAGAGGAATCACTATGACTTGCTGTCGTCATAGTTGTCTACTGAGAGTTCGTCCTTTGACCTCGATTCCATTGGGAGTCGCGGCTGTAGCTGGCTTGTGGCTCGAATTTGGGACGATAATGTTGCGATTGGCATACACATTCAGCATACCAACTGACATGCATAATTTCACGATTTTAGTATCACTTATTATATTAGTTATTTATATTCCGTTTGAGGAAATATTATACATTATCCCAAGAAGCTGTTAACTATGCAATGTTTAACATTGCAAATGATAATTACGTGATGAAACAAAAATTCAGTCGCATCACGTAACGCTTTGCTATCAAATAATTCGCACGGCTTTAAGATTTTACATTCTAAAAACGACTTCCATTGCTAACCGGTGCAAGAGTCGTAAAACTAGAAAAGACTCGTAAAACGGACGATAGAGCTAGTTGTTTGAAATCGGATGATCGTGGAAGTTAACTCTATTCGGAGTGTGCTATAGTAATGTTCAAGAGTTTCAGTCGATTTGCTATAATAATGAATAACTCTTTTAAGAAATAGCTTGAAAACCTCTGTCAACTTTCCGTACGTATATCGAAATTTCCTGGAAATTTATGAGAGCATAGGTGAGTTTCGGAATGCAGTGCATGAATAATTTCGGGCGCGAGAAGTGAGAGGAGTTGATTGGAAGAGAGAATTTTTTAAAGAAATTGCTATAAAAATATGTACTACTGCCTAGTCATAACTGCGGGGCATGCATATGTACACGGTCTTTACTTAATATTCTTCACATAAAGTATTCCTTCTGTTCGTCTAAAAAGAGTCCACGTTTTACACGTTATACACGAAATGCTTTCTCAGTTTGCGACCAATAAAGTGTAGAACAAGTCCTTCGGAAAAGAGTGGAAGCGTTCCGTTTTAATAAAGAAAGACGGTGAAGTGGCGTTTGGTATTGAACAGTTCGGGATCGTTCTTTATGGACGCAGTAAGCTGTAGACTCTGTCTTTTATGTAACACAATCCCCAGTATTTCCTTCAATAAATTAAAAATCCACAGAGTTCGATCCGAATAGGATTCGTAATAACAATTCTGTTAAAATATTGATCTGATATATTAACAGGAATATGAAAGGGTATTTAGAATACTATAATTCCTACAATTGCAGTTTCAATTATTGCAACGGCAAAATCTAACTCAGTTTAAAGTTTAAAATCATCGAATACATTCTACATCCGAAAAATGAGCGAACAGCGTATCAAAGTATCAACCCTTTTACTCCGTTCAGCGCACATAAAATGCGGAAAAGCGTATTTTGCAAGGTGTTTCGGGGGATCTTTAACGATGTCGGCGCGTGATGAGGAGTGCTCGTATATCCGGTTTTACGAGGTTCTTATCGAACTTTCGTAAAAACATAGCTGGGACAAGCCAAGGCAGCTGCTCGAGAGCATTAGCGTGTTTCCGGTACAGGTGTTTGTAAATCGAGAGGAATTCCCTGTTGGTCGCGGCCAGACGTAATCGGCCGACATTTTCGATCTTTTCCCCTTTGCTCCAGGTATCGATTGGCCCACACGTCTTCTGTTCCCATTACAGGCCATCCGGACTTTATGGCCGGAGCGTGGAATAATTTAGGGCCGGCCACAGCACAGTCGCTGAGAAAAATTTCGCGTTAACGCGATTTCAATTCCTATTCTTCCTACTCTTCCCCTTCGTCGCGTCGGGACTGATTTATCTCGAAGACGAGAGTCGGAAGTTCGAACTAGGATCGACGTTGCATGAAATATGGGTTTCGAGATTGACATGCTTGACGTTATCAGTGAGAAATATTTACGCTACGAGAACGAGGGGAAAGAAGATTTAAGGATTATATATTTCATTTTCTTTTGAGTAAATATTCCGATCGAGCTCATTGTCATTTATTTCGCTTCACTTAATCTAGTCATTTCCTAGAAATTCAGATGCAACTTTCGTGAAACCCTAATAAGATCTTTCTTAAAGGATTTCAAAAAAGAATGTTTCTTTTAAAACTTCTAATTAGAAGTTTGAAGTTCTCTAATCAACCGGGTAGGAGACGGCGAAAACTTGCCGAAGTTCTCGTTCTCTCGAACGAGACAGCGCCTCAAAAGCAAGCCGAGATTTTCTCTAATTAGATCGCGAGATTTGGTGAATCTTGGCCGAAGGGAAGTTGCTTACTGGCGTGAACCGACGTCTCGAATTTTCCCATCGTAAACTTCTCCGAAATCGGTGATTCGCGAATAGTTAACAGTCTCGAACGTTTCCCCGGCCGATTTCCATGCCGAGCCGAAATTGCTATTCGATACGCGTTCTGGACGTTGATTTTCCCTCGCGGTGATCGATCGATTCAAACGCGGCCAACGAAACGTCCAGGGGCCATGAAGAATGGTCGTACAACGGATGCTCGGCTTTTTTACGGCCCAGCATTATGTCCAAGATTCTTTTTTTTATTATTAAAACGCGATTTATGCACGTGCCACAATTTATGACCGAGCCGTTCTATTAATCTTGATGTTTTACGGTTTGCGGTTTCTTGGTAATTTCATTTTTGATATCGCAATTTTTTTGATAAACAGGCTTTGCTTGAAATATGGAGATAAAGTTTCAAAGGTACTGATGTTACATCTTATTCGAATTTTCTTCAGTGGGATATCGCGCAATATTGAATGTCTGACCATATAAAAGTTATACTACTTAAAACTGTTTCTCTGCTCTCTTATCATTATTATTTCCTATTACTTTCTCACTGCCTGTGGTATCTTATCTAGCAAAAGTTGATACAATAGATAAAAGTCATGATTAATTAATTGCTATTTCTAACATTTATACAAACTCAGATTTTTATATGTATGTTGTTCCTTAATGAGAAATCTTGTTACTGTTTCTAAAGACTAATTTAAATGTTCTATTATTGAATAAGAATATATTTCTTACGAAAGGGTTTTCTAACTTCGACTTTTAATTTCGAACCGTTCTGAGGGTTGACAAGAAAATTTGTCGAATAGAATATCGGAACGCCAAAATATTCTTCTGTGTCGTACGAGAATTTTTTCTCCCCTTCCGCCAATTTAGAGTTTCACAGAGTTGAGGACCGGCGACCAATGAATATTAAAATATCGACTTCCGAACATCGGAGTCGATCGGAATCCGGTGCTCGACTCGCGGCTATCGACACCGGCCATATCCGTCAAACTGAAACTATTACAGCCGGATATCTTTTCAAGCGTCGATCGGAAATGGACGTATCGATCGTACCGTGGCCGTCCGTGTTATTAAACCCGACCCTTCCAGTCGATTTCGCTAAGGAACTCTCCAAAGGAACGATTCAGACGACGAAGAACACCGGTTCTCTCCAAGTTTTGTTTGTTCAGGGCTAAGGAGTTTTGGGAGTGACACAAACGGTTCATTTATTTTAGCGTCAGTACACTTTAGAATAAGTTCAAACCGTGGAACCAGTAGATAATTATTTTTTAACATCAGCAAGTGATTCTCACTCATGGTGTTTCTTAAGTAATCTAATCACCGATTTATAAAATGTTTATATCTTATATTGCTATCGATGGCCACTTTCCCTTAAATTTTCTATCACGCGTTGATCAATAAGCGTTCAAAATTGAAGGATGAAATCGAGCTCCCACGCTCGTGTAATCCGGAATCTCGAGCGAATCACGGATCCCAATTTCATTTCGACGGGCAGTTATCATCGCAGATGGCTGTGGTCTCGATTTTTCTCCAAAACGGATTAGAGGACGATGCACCGGATTAGCATCGTTCGTTCTGCAGCGCGGATGAAAACAGTCTTTGTCCGGCTCTCTCGAATGTACCTTTTCCTTCCTATTTTTTTTTTTAAATTTCTCCATGGTCTGCGCGCGCGGTCAGTCGTCCGATTAATTTAATTTCCGCGGCGCGGCATGGGAAACATTGCCTGGGTATCAGGAATCATATTTTTTTTCTCGCCTCATGCGTTTTATATCTTATATTGCTATCGATGGCCACTTTCCCTTAAATTTTCTATCACGCGTTGATCAATAAGCGTTCAAAATTGAAGGATGAAATCGAGCTCCCACGCTCGTGTAATCCGGAATCTCGAGCGAATCACGGATCCCAATTTCATTTCGACGGGCAGTTATCATCGCAGATGGCTGTGGTCTCGATTTTTCTCCAAAACGGATTAGAGGACGATGCACCGGATTAGCATCGTTCGTTCTGCAGCGCGGATGAAAACAGTCTTTGTCCGGCTCTCTCGAATGTACCTTTTCCTTCCTATTTTTTTTTTTAAATTTCTCCATGGTCTGCGCGCGCGGTCAGTCGTCCGATTAATTTAATTTCCGCGGCGCGGCATGGGAAACATTGCCTGGGTATCAGGAATCATATTTTTTTTCTCGCCTCATGCGTTTTTCGTACGTTTGGGCTGGGAACGCGTTCAATGGCTCGTCCCTCGCTCTTTTATTTGTCTCTTCGTCTCTTGTGGTGATCCGATTTTCAGATGAACGTTCATGGACAGAGAAGAATTGTCCTGTCACGGAGACAGATACGCATGTTGGAAAAGTTTTGACATCGAAGCTTTCATATTTTTGAAATAATGAAACCTCTAAGTAAATGCTTCAAAGTTCTGTTCGTTAATTCCCTAAAGCAGAGTCCCAATTCAAAATTCTACTGTAAACCATCTTTCGCTAAATTCCTAGAGCAGTTTACACGTAATGAACTTCATCTCGAAGATTAAATTACTAATTGATCGAAGAGCCGCGTGTCTCGGTCTAACTAAGGGTTAATGGAAAATCCATGACACCAGTGATCCCCTGGGTCAATCAGGGCGTCCAATCGAAGGGATTCTGTAACCTCGCTGTCCACGACGAAACGCATAGCCGTTTCATGAACGTGTCCGTCAGTTTATCTCTCTCTCTCTCTCTCTCTGTCTCTCTTCCTCTGGTACTCGACCGGGTCGCTTGTCAGATCAGCCGGCCGTTAATTATTGACACGGTATCCCCGCGTACAGCGAGAGAGAAGAGCGAGTCCAGAGGCGATCGGCTTGTCTCCGGGTCCCGTGTAAGCGTGCAAAACGCGTCAAGCGGAAGCGAAAGCGGAGGAAAACGATCGAGGATTAGCGTAGACGCTTGGCTCGCTAATATGCTCGCCGAGCGAGCATAATTAGTCAAAGCTTTTATTAGTCCCTGATTAAATTTACATACTTGTCGAACGATCGAACGATTCTCTTTAGGAGACGTACGGATTTTTATTTAAATTTGTTTTGTTTTACAACACCAGAGACATTTTATTATTTTTGCTACTTGGAATGAAAGTAATTCATTAAATTCGTTAGTCTATTAGGGTTTCCTCGATCTTAATCTTTTTATGAAGGTGTAGTACATGAGATAAAGATTTTACGTAGTCAAGCTTAATTTAGTAATGGTGGTTGACAGATTTTTTGAACAGTGGGGATAATTTCTATCCCTGGAGAACGTTGAGAAAAGTGTTTCATATTCCACGACTGGGCTTAATAATTCTGATCTCGGTGAAAATCCTGCTCCCCACTTCCCCTTCTGTGTTTCGTGTCTTATAAGCTCTACTCGAGAAAATAAGGCTACACTCGGTCCAATCTCCAACGTGAAACAAAGGAGATGCTCTGCGAAAAAGTGCGGGTACATAGTTTGCATACAAGTTAGGAGAATACAGTAAATACATCTGAACGTATTTATGGGAATGATAGAAGTTCCAAGAATTAATAGATCTTTCTTTTCCATGCTTTCAAAGTGTCTATTATTAGTTCACTTCTTGCATGCCATATTTCGTTCCTTAGAAAAGAAATTCTTATTTTATACTTGTTTTTTTTTATGATCTTTGAAAGCTCCGACTGGAAATATAAGGAATGCTTTCTTTGATCTTTTCTCTTTCCAGAATAGGAAACAAAATAACATAAAATCGTCTCCGGGTCTTTGATAAATTTTCACTGGTTCTCAGTCATATAAAACCAGTAAAATAATAAAGTTTCAAGTGAGAGTTTTATGGGACGTGGACAAATGTTTTCTTATTCTGTTCTTATAGTTGTTGGAGGAGCAGAAGAAGTTTGAAGACGATGTGCGGCGACAGTTAAAGTTGCAGGAACAGGTGCATACTGACCATCTTCAAGAAGCGATTGCATTGAAGCAGCAGGAAGTGATGAGGACCATGAATCGCGCGCTGAGCGAGCAAGCAGAATCCTTTTCCACGCAGCACAAGACTAGCCTCGCAGCCATCGTCGGCAGGTTACGCGGTCTCGAAGCTGCGCTCAAGGGTGAGTCTTCTCTTCATCTTTCTTACGAATTTCCATGGATACCTACATGGTTTGTCTTACGTCAATTTATACAAGCACCAAAAATTTATTACTGCTGTGTATGTTCTACAATTCGTACGAAATAATGTTTTATTATCCGTATGAAATAATACAAAGAGGATTTGTGATATCTGTGGCCCAACGTGCGTTGAATTGATGACATTTTTATTGCGATGAATTTGGAATTTCAAATGAGCCACTTTTCAGTTCATGGTAAAATCATTTTCAAACTAAATTCACACCTTAATAAGATTCTCTTGTAAAATTCTCAGCTACCCTTTAGAATAACGTTGCGTTTTAAAATTGCCATTATAGTAATTTATTACATTCATATATGCAAAGGTCGTTTAAAGAATGAAATCCAGTCGCGTGTACAAGCAATGATCCTTAGTATATAAACTTAAGAAGTTTCTTAAAATCTAAGAAGTCGAAGAGACTTGGAGGACTTAAGAAGTCTTAAGGAGAGTCAGTAGAATAAATGTGATCGGCAAAATTGAAAGTTATAACTCAGAGAATGCCTTGGAATGCAATCGTGTTCTAAATAGGGAGACCTTTGAAAGGGATTCACGCTCTTGGCGCAACCTCAATTCGGAATTGTAATTTCCCTTCCATTTTCTCGTGAAGGCGCGAAGTCTCCATACGGTATCCCTACGCGTCTCCGGCGAGTAAACGTCCGCCAAGAGGTAGCTTCAGCTCCCTTTGTCCTGTAGAAACGAAACCCGGCAGAACACGGCAGCCTAATGGCCGCCTTTGTCGCGTTCTCCATTATTTCGTCGCTTAATTACACGGGGAAAAAGGTAGCGGGCTTAAGTATCGCGCGGCCGAGGCGTCGCGTTCTCCCCTGGGCACGTACCTATTCGCTAGGTCCGATCCTATACTTGACCGTTTCCACTTCCCTTTGTGCTCCGTCGAAAGACGAAGCGGAAGTTGGATCGGATTAAGCCGAGTTTACCGAAGGCTACAGCCGCGATTCGATCCCAGGGGAGGGTTGCGAGTCTGAGAAATTAAGACTCGGTTCCCGGGACGATTCGTGATTGAATTTCCCTGGGAAGTTACGAAAGAGCGTGACGCTGAGCTTTGAGAAAGCTGCCAATGACCAGCCGACCATGAAGTTTGTTGGCTTCCGCCGAGTAACGTTATTCTGATCTTTTCCTCAGCTCGGACTTCTTTCGACTCGTACTAACACATGCAGTTTAATTAGTCTAAGTAAATATCGAGGGCGTCATAAATAAACGACTGTCCTCCTTTACTTTATTCTTTTTACTATGAAGAGGTTAAAATCCGAGTCTTCCGAATAGCGAAGAGGTTCATTCGATACCTACATGCAGCTCTTGGATACGTACGAGTGGAAAAATATTATATCATTTCCGATACGGTGCGGGCTACGAAACAGGAATATTAATGGGCCGGTTCCTCCTCAGTTCGGTCACGTAGCTACGCGGCAACATTTCCATGCTCTGTTTCTTTCCGCTCCGAGGAAACTTATAGCCGTAATAAGTAAAACAGATTCCCCAGAAACTATTTCCTCGCTCTACTTTAAGTAATTTAACTTCATTAATGTTTATGCACTCCGCTCGTGGAGAAACTGACTCACGCACTTCCTTCTCTACTTCTACTTCATCGTTATTGAAGATCTTTATGTTCATTGAAAAACTTTGTTCCTCTCTTCTCAGGTATAATTCAGTAGTGAGTTTCTGTGAAGATTCTTAGATTTGTTTTTTTGCTCTTCTACAAAAATTTATAAGCATGTAATACATTCTTTTTCTAATTTTATTTAACATTCAAATATTTGATTCAATCAAACACAATTGAAAAGGCAAAAGATTTCGTCAATCAGTATCAATTATGAAGAATGATAATCTGGAGAAATAATATAGTAAAAAATCTGTTAGGCTAAACGATAAAGATTTTTCCTTGAGAGAGTGGAACGTAATCGATTTTCCTCGTTTTGGAATGAATCCGAGTCGGATTTAATACACCTTCGAGAGTGGCGTTACGACACGTCCTAGGAGATTAATCTCCGATTAACGAATAAACTCGAAGAGGTTGCCAATGATCTCAAATGGCCGAGACGTTTTTGTTCGTTTAGCATTCCTTAAACAGGACGATCTTAAAAAGAGAAGTTTGTAAACCCTGAGAATTTTAATCAGGATTACACTGATTTTATCTTGCAAAACTCTTACTATTTCCATCTTTAGAATTTTTTATTTCTACAGCTGTCCTAAATTTTTCCTAAACGTGTTTTTATGTCCTCATCAATCTGGATTTCTATAATGCCAAAGAGACTGCAATTTAATTTTTTAATCAAAGGAATGTTCAAAGGAATTTTTTTGTCATACGGGAAAGCGATCCTTTTTACGTCTTTTTATTAATTAAATTTTCGCGCAAAACTACGTCTTGATCATCATTTGAGATGTTAAACGTTTATTACACAGAACCCGTTTTAGCTTCGTTTGCTTCATAAATAAAACCATTGATTCGCGAGCATAAGCGAGCAAACAGGATTTAAAAGAAAACTCCGCGAGATCTACGAGGATAGAATTTTGTTATCAGCCCGTTCAAGTTTCATTCTATCCGCACAGGAATCCGTTGGTTTTCTGCAGCAAACGGATACCGTGCGCCCGGTTTTACCGTGCCCACACACGAGCGCACGTTATTTCCTTGCTCTATCGGCCGGCACAAAGGCATTGTTTAATTTGGCACGGCGAGCGTCATGGGGGAATAGAATTTTTTAGGAGTACGTGATAGGAGAATGGCTCTCCGGCGGTGTAAGAGAGATATTAGTATTTTACAAGGAATCATGGCTTGTATCTCGCGTGAAATTGTTATAGCCGAGTTCTAAAGTCAGCTTCCTATGTGAAACTCTCATAAAAATTTGCTGCAGTTTCTATGAACATGATTTTTAAAATGTATCCTTTATGGAGCATCTGTCTGTACAGATACTGCCGATTCACGGGTGTTCTTTGCGGTTAGGCTATCGCTATTTTTGTCGGAAATTGCTGTTGCGATGGATGTTGGGTAGTTTTGTAAAGAAACTTATGAGGAAGTTCAGATATTCGTTTGAAAATTATTCTTCCATACCGAAATAAACTTCCTTTATTCTAACTCATAAAGTAAATAACAAGCCAGCCAAGACAATATTCTACAGTGTAAAATAATTATATAAAGTATTAGCTTGGAAGAATGTTTCTCCAGAAATGGCAAACCAAATAAGTAGACTATCAGCAAAAAAAATGCGATATACTCTTTTTCTGGACGGGTTGGACGAAGCTTTCAAATGAGTCGGTGTACCCGGCGCGTATGGGGGACAAAAACAGCGGCAATAAATCCGCGGTACCGGTATAATAGCGGTGTTTCCGGGGATAGTTTCGACGCGAAGCGAGGGGAGCGGTTGATAGTTCCCTGGACAGTTCGAGGGTGATAAAGAGACGGAGACAGAGCCGGTGGAAGGGTCGAGTTGCCGCGGTTAGTCGCGGTTTTACAAGCTCACGAGACCAGCTAACGTATGCAGCATGCGCCGCAATTATAACTTGAAGCGTTCCCTTTTCCCAGCCCCGTGCGTGGCTAAGAGCCGTCTTTTAAAAGTCGCAATTTAACGGTTGCCGTGGTTGATCGGTACTCCCGAGGAGAGATTGCTGAAAAGTGGCAGCCTTAGGGGGCTTTGTGTCACACGAAAAAATCAGCAATTTTTTACATCCACTAGAATATAGTGCCGCCGAAGTAAAAAACAGAAAATGCAACTTTCATTTGAAGAATTTTCCGAAATTCCGAGACAAAAAAATTTTTTCAATTTTTTCGAGATTTTGTCAAGGGGTACCCCTTTAATTTCTTCCAAATTTTCGTTTTTTGCCAATAAGTCCCAAATCGTTGGACTTACGGGAAAATTGCATATAACCTTTCTTGTAGAGGACGACGAGATCTACAATTTCCATGTAAAAATTTTTCGCTAGTATAAATAGTTTACGAGTAATTTGCAAAAAACTGTTTTTTCGTTTTTCGTCAATAACTCGTTAAATATCGATGCTAGCTAAAAAATTTTATATAGAAATTGTAGATCTCGCCGTCCTCTACAAAAAAGGTCCTATGCAATTTTTCTGTAGGACCAACGGTTTAGGCGTAATTAAGGAAAAACGAATTTTTTTGTCAAAAGTTTGATATTTCGTGGGTGAGAAGGTCGGATTTTGTCAGTACCCATAAAATGCCAATTAATCATACTTAACTCGTTAAATATCGAAGTTAGACGAAAAATGTATAGAATTTTTCTTTGTAGAGGATGTCGGTAGTTTTAAAGATAGATAGTGTTAACATGGACTCGCGCCAAACTATTCTGCTCGATTAAACATTCAATTAAGTAAATGATTGAATACAAACATTAGAAGTAGTTAGTTTATTTCACATCATTTTTTAAACAATTTTCTTTAAAGTGCTCTGGTTTTTAATTTCATCGAGCCGAATTAGCAGCCTGGATAAGAATGTTTTTATTCCCGGAGCCTCGGTTTCAATTTTTCCGACGACCACGCGGCGCTGACTTTACAGTCCGAGCGTAAAAAGTTGAAAATACACGGGTCCAGGGGTACACGCTTAACGGCTTTCTGCCGCCGTATTTCCACGCCGGGATTTACGGTTCTGCCCAGCGGCGCAGGAACCCTTCTCCGCCTTTATCTTCTTTCCTACCACCCTCTCTGTCCTCCTCCGCGCGAACACGGAGGACACTGGACGCGCTGGGGATCAAGCTTAAAGAGGATCGATGGATTCGTGACACGGAAAATAATTCAACATCGAATCCGTTCAGAATAAGAAGTAGACTCACAATCTCGTCAAATTCTTAGAATGACGTATTTCACTCTTAAAATCATATGTTTTTTGTTTAAATTTTTGTTGAATGTTTGATAACGTCGAAAATAGAATGAAGTACAGTCAGTAATTTTTAACTATTAAGGCAATTTATCTATCCACTTTAA